ATTTTGGAGACGGAGTTTCGCTCTTGTTACCCAGGCTGGAGTGCAATGGCGCAATCTCGGCTCACCGCAACCTCCGCCTCCTGGGTTCAAGCAATTCTCCTGCCTCCGCCTCCTGAGTAGCTGGGACTACAGGCACGCACCACCATGCCTAGCTAATTTTTTGTAGTTTTAGTAGAGACGGGGTTTCACCATGTTGACCAGGATGGTCTCGATCTCTTGACCTCGTGATCCACCTGCCTCGGCCTCCCAAAGTGCTGGGATTACAGGCTTGAGCCACCGCGCCCGGCCGACATTGAACATTTTAAAGAGCCCAGACAGTCACTAAAAGTCTCAGAAAGTGATAGCTTCAATACCCCATCCACCCCATGGTCACAATTTCTTCTCATAGTAAGTGGCTGTCACTCTCTACAAGATCTCAGGGACTGAAATTTTCCTATAATCCAGAGAAGGCTTCTTAGAAGACAAACATAATTACGTGTTTGCTGTGCAGAAATGTAAATAGTGACCCCAAACTGTGAAAGATGGGAAAATTCTTCTTCAAAGTTTATATCTTAGACTGCATTATAAGGAGTTACAATCTCTTGCTCTATGGCCATTATCCGCTATTAGCATAAACATATACTTATGTATTTATATTCTCTAAATCGGCTTCTTCTTAAATCAGCTACCTGGACTCGATCTGGCATGTCTGAACAGGACTAGGCAAGCTCCACACCCCGGTGCATGCCATTCCTTATTTGGAAACCCTCCTGATCTTCTCCTGATTAGCCTCCTCTTTTTCCTTGTCTCTGTTCCCCTTATCTATTCAGGAAATTTTCAGATATTTTAGCCAATCAGATCAAGCATAGCATGCGAGGTCCCATTCCGGCCAATGGAAACTGGACACAGCAGTAGGGCGATTGTGTCAGGTTATGAAAGTTATAAATGTCCCTACACCTTTGTTCAGGTGTGCTCTTGTGGTGAGACTACCAGCGAGTTGCCCCCTTCCTGCAGGAAGTAAACTAGCCTTGCTGAGCGATCCATGGTCTTCACGTGGACTCTTCCTGACGTTATAAACCTATTTCCAACACAAGCCATTGCACTCTTTTTTTTTTGGTAGGCAACTCACATCCCAACTACAGCACTGCCAGCCACAGTCCAAATGCCCAAGTCTAATATGTCCTGTTAACTGTGCCCTGCCTCAGAAACATCCCTTGTTTCTGTTACATTCTCAATGGCCAGTTTGATGTGTCTCCCGAGTTTCTCAGGCCCTGCCTTCCAGATACAGAATTGCCTGCTGGACATCACCATCTGGCTCTGACCACCAACAGACGCAGAGTAGATCCACAGCCAAGTTCATGTTCCTCCTTCACCTTTGTCCCAACTTCCTTCCTGGCACCCCATCTGCGCCAAGAACACCCTCACATCCCCAAGACCCAGCTAAACCACCACCATATCTTTCAGAATGCTTTCTTGGCATCCCACCCAGGATAAAGTAAAGGCCCACACTTAAGCACCACCTTTACCTTCCAGCTGTCTGCATTGATATACATGGCCATCTCCTACCACTAGACTACAAGTCACCTGAGAACAGGGACTGTGTCCTGAAGTCTGTGTTATCAGTGTCTAACAATATCTGACACATAGTAGGTGCTCAATAAGTGTCTGTTACAAGGAGGAGTGAACAAATGATATAAGCAATTCTAAATTTTGCCCAAGCCTCATTGAGATCCTGCCTTCCTGTAGCCATCGTCTAAGCTCAACTCTCTTCCTGGCACCCCATCTGCCCCAAGAACACCCTCACATCCTCAATATTTCCTTAAGTCAAATAGGAAAGCATTTTAGAACTCCAGATAGGACTTTTTTCCACTTCACTCCTAGGTGGTCAGGGCTACCAAAACACAGGAAATGAGGAGCTAGACTGAAACAAGAGCCCTGCTGGTGGCCAGGCACAATAGCTCATGCCTGTAATTCCAGCACTTTGGGAGACAGAGGTGGGCAGATCACGAGGTCAAGAGATTGAGACCATCCTGGCTAACATAGTGAAACCCAGTCTCTACTAAATATACAAAAATTAGGGGGGCATGGTGGTATGCGCCTGTAGTCTCAGCTACTTGGGAGGCAGAGGCAGGAGAATTGCTTGAACCTGGGGGGTAGAGTTTACAGTAAGCTGAGATTGCGCCACTGCACACCAGCCTGGTGACAGACTGAGACTCTGTCAAAAAACAAAACAAAAAAACCCAGCGGGTGCTGGAGACCACAGCAGCTTCCCTGCCCTGCTGTTTAGTTCACTGTGTGGTGTGTCACCAGCTAACACCCCCAGGCAGAGCCGCTGGGCAGGGGAATTCTTAATCTCCTTCTACCACATTAAAAAAAATTCTATGTATGTAGTTTTGAGACAGTATTTCACTCTGTCACCCAGACTGGAGTGCAATGGTGCATGGTGCAATCACACCTCACTGCAGCCAGGACCTCCTAGACTCAAGCGATCAGCCAACCTCAGCTTACGTACCTGGGACTACAGGTATGCACCACCACATCTGGCTAATTTTTTAAATTTTTTTGTAGAGACAGTGTCTTACTCTGTTGCCCAGTCTGGCCTCAAACTCCTGGGCTTAAGCCATCCTCCCACCTCAGCCTTCCAAAGTGCTGAGATCATAGGCATGAGCCACCATGCCCAGCCTCCACCACATTTTAAACAAGTCCAGGCATCAGATGTGGGCATCAGCTTGGCTGGTGGGCATCGGCTTGGCTGGGAGACATGCCCACATAGGGCTGCATCAAGCCTGGGATGGAGACATAGGTGTGAAAGCCTCAACAATCACAGAGGAGGGGCCCTTCTGACCAGCACCACTCCCTCTGACCCCATGAAAAGGTGTCATCTTCTAGGTGACTGGAGTTTCAGGCACCACAGAAAGACCCTGAGTGAATTCTCTTAGTTCAGGGAAGAGAATACCTTCCATCCATTCCTCTGGCTTATGTTAGAGTGCTCGTTTAAACCTAAATTTGACCACATCTGCTCTTTGGGGGGAAATAGCACCACCTTTGTAAGGCATAGGAGACTTTCCTATTCATCCCTGCCTGCCTGTCCCACCTCACACTCCCTTTATACCATAAGCTCAACAAACCGCAATCAGTGTGCCCTCAGACACACCAGGCTCTCATACATCTCTGTGCTTCAGCAGGGGCTGCTTCTGAGGCCGGGGTCTTCCTTCCTCTGCCCAACAGAAGCCTCAGCATCCTCCACTCTTCAAGGATCTCTCTTCTGTGGTAACTACCCCACTCTTCACATAGAATCAGAAGCTCCTTCTCACTACAGTCTTAATTTTATGTTTCTCCTGGCCAGGTGCAATGGCTCATGTCTGTAATGCCAGCACTTTGGGAGGCCGAGACAGTTGGATCACTGGAAGTCAGCAGTTCAAGACCAGCCTGGCCAACATGATGAAACCCCACCTCTACTATAATACAAAAATTAGCCAGGTGTGGTGGCACACACCTGTAATCCCAGCTACTTGGGAGGCTGAGGCAGGAGAATCACTTGAACCTGGAGGCAGAGGTTGCAGTGAGCTGAGATCACACTACTGCACTCCAGCCTAGGCAACAGAGTGAGACTCCATCTCAAACAAAAAGAAAGTAGATATATTGGACTGGGGGCACCCTAAGGTACCTTGTGGTGGGCACAGTCCTCCATCACACCCCTAAAGTCTGGGCACTGTTAAGCTGCCCTTGCGTGAGTCACTTAGCCTCCAGGGACTTTGAGGACAGGGACCATGCTTGTTTTGCTCACCAATGTGTGTCTGGTACCTCGAGCAGTGCCCAGCAGATGCCAGGCTCCAAGTCCACTTTGGCTGCCTGGCTGACAGAGAGCACGTGGTGCAGAATGAGATCGTGGGACGGGAAACCCTGACATTCAGCCTCAAATCCAGCCAGGGACCCCAAGCAATGGAAGACCCTGACCACTGCCTTTGCAGCTGTGAGTAGGTTGTGGTGTGAGATACATTTTAAGATCTATGTGTGTAAGATACATTTTTAACTTTCAAATACCACACTTTGGATCCAGAAAGGGCAACGTATAGGAGCTTTAAATTCGTAGGTGGCTGTCTGGGTTACCTTGTGTGACTCGGGCTGGGGTGGCCCGATCTCTGTCCCAGTCTCCAGGCCGAGGACACAGCTTGGAATCCTAAAAGGAATTGTCTTTATCACAACTCACGCAAGTCTCTTAATGAAATCGAGCAGCTCAAATCCACCCAAAGGGGCGCCCCGCACTCCTGCCCCGCGCGTCCTCGGACGCTTCCCAGGCGGGGTCCCCCGCCGCCTGCCGGGGCCCAGGTGAGGGGCCGGGGTTACCTTTTGGAGGAAGGCCATCCTCGGCCTGTACTGCTGGCCTTGGTGTCGGGTTGTCATCCTGGCCCCTGGATGGATTCACAGCCAGAGCACCAGTGGGAGACAAGAGGAGAAGCCCCCCAAGTCTGAAAGGCAGCCGGGCCCGCCCCAGCCCTGGGCGTGGACGGGGAGGCGGCTGGGCGCGGAGGGCGCGGGCCGGGCCCCCCTGACCCTCACTCTGGGCCTCCGACTTGGAAAGCAGCTGGAATCCGCACCAGCCAATCCGCGAGCGGCGCCGGGGGCTCGTTAGCACGCGCTGCGCGGGCCTCCACCTGCCGCCAGGGGGCGCTGTCCGACCTACGCCGGGACCCCGCGGAGCCGCAGGTGAGACCCGCAGGGCGGGGCCCCGGGCGTGGTGGTAGGGAGAGGAGGAGGAGGGAGAAGAGGAAGGGGATGGAGAGGGCGAGAAGGAGGGAGAGGAGGAGGGGGAGCTGTTTTGGGGAGGAGGGGGAGGAGGATCTGTGGCAGAGGGCGAACCTTGGACCGCACCGCTAAGGCCTGGGGAAGTGAAAACAGATGCAACAGGCTTTGGCTCCCTGGCTAGCCAGCCCCCAAATCATCGAATGGCACTTAGCAAATTATTCGGTTGCTGCAAAAGTAATTGTGGCTTTGACATGTTAAAGGCAAAAACCGCAATTACTTTTGCACCAACCTAATACACTTTTCTCAGCATCAGTTTCCCCATCTTACATGTGAAAGGCAAGTGGGCCGGAAATGGCTCCTATCAGGTGCTGTGAGGACTGAATGAATAACTGGGTCAAGGACTGGCAGTGGGGTGTGGCTGGTGGCGAAGAATGTGCTCACCAGCCAGATGGGCTGGCTCTGAGCCCCGGACTTGCCACCTAGCTGTAGGAGCCCAAGCGAGTTATGGAACCCCTCTAGGCTTCCTTTGTCTCAGCTGGTGAATGAAAATCACCACCCTCCCTGGGGGGCGGGTGCGGTTTGTTTGGTTCTGGTTTTGGTTTTAAGATTACTGAGCGGATTCATGTACAAGCACTTACACTTAGTGAATGTCCAGTAACCAATAGTTTCTGTCTTATGTCTCTTGGGACTCTTTAAAAAAACAATTATGAGGCATAGTGGTTCCATTATATACATAGTCCGGTATACTGATATATACATTATTCTGATAATAATTCTCAGAAGTCTCAAAATAATATGAGAAAAATACTGTTGGAATCATAACTGGAAGTAAAGTGTAATCTCTGGAATCAGATTGCTTGGGGTCAAATCTCAACTCTGTTACTCTCTGTGTGGCTTTGGGCAAGTTAATCAACCCCTTTGTGCTTTTATTTCTGTAAAATGGGGAGACGATGCGATGACAGGGGACAAAGGAGTAAAGAAACAATAAATACCAGTCGTTGTTAGTATTATCAATATTAAAATCATTAAAGATAGTGTAGATATGGAATGCTAGCTACAACTCCGACAGGAGGAGATCTCCCAGGTCTAACGTTCAGGATCAGGGACATTCCCATCTTTTCTTTCTAGAGCTGGGTGGCCTGATCATGGCAGACTACGCTGGTGTCAGATGGGGACATGTGGGCATTTGTCATAAGAGGTGTGCTCAGGAAATATATCTTCAGATCATCTGGGTCCCATTCCCATGGAAGAGCCGCATTCCCACCAAACTACCCAGACATCTTAGCTCCAGGTTAGAGTACTGGAATAACAGTTTCAGGAATGAGACTCTGAAGTCTGGTTGACTCACAGGGAAATGACTTGGCAGAAAGCCATGAGATGTAGCTTCCAGCCCTGGCTTGGCCACAGACATGGCCACGGTGAATGACAGTGTGGAAACCAGGTTTTCAAATTTAGTTGAATGGGTTCAGCAAAGCAATTTCAAAATCATTTCAACTTTGTATGCATCTGTGATTGCTTCTCCTATTCTCTTTGCTAATTTGGGCTTTCTCTCTCTCTATTCTTAAGGAGGTTAGATAGTAATTTTTTTTTTAAATTATAATGAGATGCATGTATTTGGTTGAGAACCAGGTTTTATTTAAAAGTTAGAACTTTAGGCCAGACGTGGTGGCTCACACCTATAATCCCAACACCTTGGGAGGCTGGGGTATGTGGATCATTTGAGGTCAGGAGTTCAAGACCAGCCTAGCCAACATGGTAAAACCTTGTCTCTACTAAAAATACAAAAATTAGGTGGGCAATAGTGGTGGGTGCTTGTAATTCCAGCTACTTGGGAGGCTGAAGCAGGAGAATCACTTGAGCCTGGGAGGCAGAGATCATGGTGAGCCAAAATCATGCCACTGCACTCCAGCCTGGGCAACAGAGTGAGATCCTATCTCAAAAATAAATAAATAAGTGAATATACATAAATAAAAGTTAGAACTTTAAAATTATTTTGTCATCAGTAATTTATGCAGTTGAGTTAACAAATGTGAGGGGGACCTATAAGGTAGAAAAATCCTTAGGTATATAGAGTGACCACTTATGTCAGGTTGCATTTGTTGTTCTGAAATAGTTAACGGTGCCCTCTTGCACCTTCAAAAGTGACTGTGTTTAGGCTGGGTGTGGTGGCTCATGCCTGTAATCCCAGCACTTTGGGAGGCCAAGACAGGTGGATCGCTTGAACCCAGGTGTTTGAGGCTAGCCTGGGCAACATAGTGAGACTCTGTTTCTAGTAAAGAAAATTATTTTATAATTAAAATAAAATAAAACCAAAAAAGTGACTGTGTTTGGATGACAGCTCATGTGACTACCATAATCACATGCTAACTTCCTTCTCTAACAATGGTCAAATCAGGCCTCCTTGTTTCCTAGATGAGGGAGACAGCCAGGGTGTGCTGGAAAGTGAATATGACTAGGACTCGTGACACTTGGATTCTAATCCTAAATCTGCTTACTACTGACTGAGTAGGGAATTCAGACAAGGCACATCTCTTCTCAGAGCTGCATTCACTGATCAGAGTTGTTCAGTGTTTCCCAAAGTTTGCTCTACAATCAACGCTTCTCAACATTTAGTGCAAATATTAGTCTCCTCGGGATCTTGTTAAAGTGCACATTCTGGCCAGGCACAGTGGCTCATGCCTGCAATCCCAGCACTTTGAGAGGCTGAGGCAGGAGGATCACTTGAGGCTAGAAGTTTAAGATCAGGCTGGGCAACAAAGCGATACCTCCATTTCTACAAAATAATAAAAATATGAGCTGCATGCTGTGGCATGCATCTGTAGTCTTAACTATTCAGTAGGCTGAGGTGAGAAGATCTCTTGTGACCAGGAGTTTGAGGTTGCAGTGAGCTATGATCACACCACTGCACTGTAGCCTGGGCAACAGAGCAAGACTCTATCTCAAAAATAAATAAATAGGCTGGGCGCAGTGGCTCACACATGTAATCCCAGCATTTTGGGAGGCTGAGGCAGGAGGATTGCTTGAGGCCAGGAGTTCGAGATCAGCCTGGGCATCCATTTCTATAAATAATAAAAATATGAGCTGGACACTGTAGTGTGTGCCTATAGTCCTAGCTACTTAGGAGGTTAAGGTGAGAGGTTAGCTCGTGCCCAGGAGTTTGAGGATGCAGTGAGCAATGATTGAGCCACTGCACTCCAGCCTCAGTGACAGAGCAAGAACTTGTTCAAAAATAAATAGGCTGGACATGGTGGCTCGAACCTGTAATCCCAGCACTTTGGGAGGCTGAGGTGGGAGGATTGCTTGAGCCCTGGAGTTTGAGACCAGCCTGGGCAAGATGACTGGTCTCAAGCAAGATGAACACCTTGTCTCTATTTTTTTTTTCTTTTTCTAAAGAAAAAAAAGACAGGATACATGTGCAGAATGTGCAGGTTTGTTACACAGGTATACATGTGCCATGGTGATTTGCTGCATCTATTGATCCATCCTCTAAGTTCCCTTCCCTCACCCATCACCCCCAGTGGGGTGATGTTTACCTCTCTGTGTACATGTGCTCTCATTGTTCAACTCTCACTTATGAGTGAGAATATGCAGTATCTGGTTTTCTATTCCTGTGTTACTTTGCTGAGGATAATGGCTTGCAGCTTCATCCATGTCCCTGCAAAGGACATGATCTCACTCCTTTTATGGGGATATGGTATTCCATGGTGTATATGTGCCACATTTTCTTTATCCAGTCCATCATTAATGGGCATTTGGGCTGGTTCCATGTCTTTTCTATTCTAAATAGTGCTGCCATAAACATGTGTGCATATGTCTTTATAGTAGAATGATTTATATTCCTTTGGGTATATACCCAGTAATGATATTGCTGGATTAAATGGTATTTGTGGTTCTAGATCCTTGAGGAATTGCACACTGTCTTCCACAATGGTTGAACTAATTTACATTCCCACCAACAGCCTCACCACCATCTATTGTTTCCTGACTTTTTAATAATCGCCACTCTGATTGGCATAAGATGGTATCTCACTGTGGTTTTGATTTGCATTTCTCTGATGATCAGTGATGTTGAGCTTTTTTTCATGTTTATTGGCCACATAAATGTCTTCTTTTGAGAAGTGTCTACTCATATCCTTTGCCCACATTTTGGTGGGGTTGTTTTTTTTCTTGTAAATTTGTTTAAGTTCCTTATAAATTCTGAATATTAGACCTTTGTCAGATGGGTAAATTGAAAAAATTTTCTCCCATTCCACAGGTTGCCTGTTCACTCTGATGATAGTTTCTTTTGCTGTGCAGAAGCTCTTTAGTTTAATTAGATCTCTTTTGTCAATTTTGGCTTTTGTTGCAATTGCTTTTGGTGTTTTTGTCATGAAGTCTGCCCATGCCTGTGTCCCGAGTGGTGTTGCCTAGGTTTTCTTTAGGGTTTTTATGATTTGGGGTTTTACATTTAAGTCTTTAATCCATCTTGAGTTAATTTTTGTATAAGGTGTAAATTTCTAATTTAATTATTAATTAAATTCATTAATTTAGGTCGGGCAAGGTGGCTTACGCCTGTAATCCCAGTACTTTGGGAGGCTGAGGTGGGCGAATCACAAGGTCAGGAGATTGAGACCATCCTGGCTAACACAGTGAAACCCCATCTCTACTAAAAATACAAAAAATTAGCTGGGCATGGTGGCACACACCTGTATTCCCAGCTACTTGGGAGGCTGAGGCAGGAGAATCACTTGAATCCAGGAGGTAGAGGTTGCAGTGAGTCAAGATCACACCACTGCACTCCAGCCTGCAACAGAGCAAGACTTTATAGCAAAAAAAAAAAAAAGAAAAAAATTAAATGTATAAATTTATCAAATTAAATTAAAAACTAATCATTTTTAAAATAATTAAAACTTTTTCTTTTTCTTTTTAATAAATAAATAAAGTACAGTTTCTGATGCAGTAGTTTTGGGGTGAGGCTGCGATTCTGCATTTCAAACAGGCCAGATGATGCCCAAGCCAAATTCAATCTGAGTAGCCAGATCTAAAAGCGATAGCATGTTAGCTACCAACAGCTGATAGAAATAAACAAACACAAGAAATGGGGTATGGGGGGGTTATAGACAAACACATTCAGAACTCTATGTGTTTAATACATTTAAAAGGGATTATTTAGTGCAGGGCTCCCCAAAGCCTCTAACATACTTCCAAAGAGAATGACTTCAGCAACACAGAAGAAAAGTTTTCAGAAAGACAAAAGTCTTTATTTGCAGTAGAGGCAAGAGGACAACTGGTTTTCCCACACTCCTGCTCAATTCCTCTCCCAGATAAACAGATGATGTCTTGCCATACTTAAACCTCATTGCAGGAAAACTGGTTTCACCTGCAGCTCCCTTCACATTCCCACCCAACCCCTTAACTCCCATTTTGGACCGTGGGACTTGACTCATAGACTGGCTGTCAACCTGTAACATGACCAGGTATAAAAGGATGACCTGAGCCTGGGCAAAGTAGTGAGATTCCGTCTCTGCAAAAAATTTTTAAAAATTGGTCAGGCACAATGGCTCACACCTGTAATTCCAGCACTTTGGGAGGCTGAGGCGGGCAGATCACGAGGTCAGGTGTTCAAGACCAGCCTGGCCAACATACTGAAACCCTATCTCTACTAAACTAGAAAAATTAGCTGGTAGCACATGCCTGTAGTCCCAGCTACTCGGGTGGCTGAGGAAGGAGAATTGCTTGAACCCAGGAGTTGAAGGTTGCAGTGAGCTGAGATCATGCCACTGCACTCCAGCTTGGGCAACAGAGTGACACATCATCTCAAAAAAATTTTTTTTAATTAGCCAGGCATGGTGATGCATGCCTGTAATCTCAGCTATTCAGGAGGATGAGGTGGGAGGATCACTTGAACTCAGGAGGCCAAGGCTGCAATGAGCTGTGTTTGCACCACTGCATTTAAGCCTGGATGATGAAGAGAGATCCTGCAAAAGAAAAAAAAAAAAAAAAAAAAAAAAAATGGATGACCTGGACCAACCAACTACATGATCACTCTTGGAAATAGCCAGCTGAGCCAGTTGGTGGAAGTGGACAAATTTGAAAAGGGTGGAATCTGGCCCATAATAAGGCAAAGCCACATGAGAGCAAAGTTATGAGGGAAATGAACTCTGAGCAGGCAGTGGAAGCCCACGATAGAAACCAGAATGGAACAGAAGCACAGAGCATTGCAGAGGTGCCCTAAGAGATCCTAGAAATGGAAGTTGATGTGGTGTGGATGTGTGTCCCCTCCAAATCTCATGCTGAAACATGATCTCCAATGTTGGAGGTGGGCATGGTGGCAGATATTGAATCATGGGGACAGATTTCTTAAGAATGGCTTAGCACCATCCCCTTGGTGATAAGTGAGTTCTCCTTCAGGTACTTCACATGAGATCTGGTTGTCTAAAAGAGTCTAGTCCCACCCCCTTCTCTCTCTTGCTCCCTCTCTCACCATGTGACATATCTGCTCCTGCTTCACCTTCTGCCATGAATGAAAGCTCCCTGAGGCCTCCCCAGAATTGAAGGGAATTTTGACACCATGCTTCCTGTACAGCCTGCAGAACCATGAGCCAATTAAATCCCCTTTCTTTAGGAACCAACACAGAAGTGAAAGCCACTGGTGGCTATTGCTGGGTCAAAAAGAGCAACTTAGTTTTTCATGATGGTAACAGGCTACAAACTAGAAGAATAGTACAGTTATGTTTCAATGAGACATTTTTAGACCAGGGAGGAAAAAGTGAACTTTGCTCCCTTCCATCTAGGAAACCCAAAGCCAATTTACAGCCAGCTTGAAGCAATAGAAGTTTATTGCCATCATAACTTCATTCTCTCCAACCTCACCCTACGTCCACCCTGATCTTGCCTCCATATTTAATGTGTTTTCATTGTCCTGATTTTTAATTTATACTTTATCATTTTATTTTATGCATCTCCTAAATGCCTTGTTGACTTACTTGTGAAAAGAGACACAACATAAATAAATAAATGTACCAGATGAGAACTACGTTAAGTGATTTGTGTCTGAATGACCATAACCCCAATTCTTCCTATTAATCATCATCACAGGCATAGAGAGAGGTCTCTAGAAGTATGTCACAGGATTCACCAAAACTCCCTCCTGTTAAAAATTAAAATGATTTAGATAACAACATTGATGACACACTGTTTACATTTTCAAACAAAGATGAAAATGGAAAGAATGACTAACATGTTAGAAAATAGGATTTGCTTCCAAAAGTTTTTGCCAATCAAGGCTTAAGCCAGTGTCCTTTCAAGAACTGATCAAATGTCCCTGTGAAGCAACATCTCTGGGCTGAACTTCGTTCAGTGTTAACAGTTTCCCGCTGTTATCTAAAATCATTATAAGAATTAGCTGTGCCGACCACAGTGGCTCATGCCTGTATGCCCAGCACTTTGGGAGGCTGAGGCAGGCAGATCACTTGAGGTCAGGAGTTCGAGACCAGCCTGGCCAATGTGGCGAAAGCCCGTTTCTACTAAAAATACAAAAAAATTAGCTGGGCGTGGTGGCTGTAATCCCAACTACTGGGGAGGCTGAGGTAGGAGAACTGCTTGAACCTGGGAGGCAGAGGTTGCAGTGAGCCAAGATCACACCACTCTACTCCAGCCTGGGTGACAGAGCAAGGCTCCATCTCAAAAATAAAAAATAAAAATAAACAATTAGCTGTGTGAATTTTTCTATGAAAAAAAATTGATTTTATACCAAATCAGATCCCAACACTGTTGTCCAAGTATTGCCCGTTCTATCTCTCTACCATGTACAATAGGAAAAATTTCTTTCAAAGTTTAGTACCAAGAAAACTGAGAGAGATGTGTATCATGTTTCCTTTTTCATCTTGACCACCAAAGCGCTTCAGATCTACCATCAGGCTCCCTTGGAATAAACATTTGATTTCTAATATTTTCTCCACTGTTTTCCTATTTTGATTCCCATACAATTGGCTTTTATTATCTGGGCTTTTATTTATTGGTAAGCCACAACAACTTTATTTTTAATGACTTGGGATAGAAATAAACTAAATATATCCTATTTGAATAATAAGTGGAAGATAGCTTGATGAATTGGACAAGGTGGGTGAAAAAAGGGTGAAAAGAGCAATCTCAGCAGTTTTCAAGATAAATAATTATATCAAACTGACTTTTTGAACCTACATTGTTTTACTTTGGTCTGAGACATCTGCTAGATGGAGAACAGTCTGATGAAATGTGTCCAGGTTTGATCAGCTTGCTCTGTCTTGTCCTTACATTCTTTGGCATCTTTGTTGAAAATGTAAACACTTTGCTTAGAGCACCTCTCTCCATCTAAATCTATTGGCATTGCTTGACAGTAAAGGGTGTCTTGTTCCCGCAAGCCTGGAACTCTATTCTTCTCCTTGCACCTCCATCATTTCCAGGCAAGGTGGACCAGTGAGTAGGTAATGAAGGGATGAGTGGGAGGAGAGTGGGCCACAACTGTAGGGGTTTCGTGGTGAACAATTGACCTAAGTAAGACCTCCCGGTCACCTCCTCCATACGCTACCCCATATACTACCCTACAGTAAGAGATGTTTCCTCCTTTCCATCCTAAGGAATGGAGTTCCTGCAATGGTAGAAATTTCCCAGAAACACTTGATAGAAATTATCAAAGGCAAATATGGCAATACCATCTTGTCTTCTGACCCTTCTCTCCATGACACCCCACATGCCTCCTTTAGACCAACATCGGATGAGTTCTACTTAATAATATTGACATCTCTGCTTTTCCAAGTCTGTTTCCCCACTATAAATGTTATACATGTCCCCTACTGAACATGTAGGAAATAGAGAAAAGCAAATTTTTACAAATGTAACAATATCTACAGAAGGCATGGTGACACACATCTGTAGTTCCAGGCACTCAGAAGGCAAGCAAGAGGATCACCCAAGCCCAGGAGTTCAAATCCGCAGTGAGTGATGACCGTGCCACTGTATTCCAACCTGGCAACAGAGCAAGACTCCATCTCTTAAAAAATGAATCCGGGAAAAGAAGGGTAAAACGCTTGAAATTGAATGTGTGGTAGAAAGGGATGTACGGAGAGTCAGGAGACTTGGATTACAGCCTCATGTCTGCCATAACTATTGATAGCTGGGTGATCTTGGGAAAGTAACTGATCCTTGATGATATTTTATTCACTTGTGAAAGGAAAAGTTTCGGCTGGGCAGACCTGCTCTCCTAGCATTCCAGGATCACAGAACGGTTCAACAGGAGACATAATAACCAGACCTTCTGGGTTTATATTCCCAGCACTGCCACTTACGAGTTGTTTGACTTTGAGTAAGTTTCACAGCCTCTCTCTGTTTCAGTGTCCCCATCTATAAATGAAGAATGATACTATCTCTCATATATTTATGATTTGGTGAATATTGGCTGTTGTTAATTTTTCTTTTCTTTTCTTTTCTTTTGTTGAGACGGAGTCTCACTCTGTCACCCAGGCTGGAGTGCAATGGTGAGATCTCGGCTCACTGCAACCTCCACCTCCCAAATTCAAGCAATTCTCTTGCCTCAGCCTCCCGAGTAGGAGTAGCTGGGACTATAGACATCTATCCCCATGCCCAGCTAACTTTCGTCTTTTTAGTAAAGACAGAGTTTCACCATATTGGCCAGATTCTCAAACTCCTGACCTTGTGATCAGCCTGCTTTGGCCTCCCAAAGTGCTGGGATTATAGGCATGAGCCACCACACCCAGATGCTGTTATCTTTTCTCTCTTTCTTTCTTTCTTTCTTTCTTTCCTTCCTTCCTTCCTTCCTTCTTTCCTTCCTTCCTGCTTTCCTTCCTTCCTTCCTTCCTTCCTTCCTTCCTTCCTTCCTTCCTTCCTTCCTTCCTTCCTTTCTTTCTTTCTTTCTTTCTCTCTCTCTCTCTCTCTCTCTCTTTCTTTCTTTCTTTCTTTCTTTTCTTTTCTTTTCTTTTCTTTTCTTTCGATAGGGTCTTGCTCTGTTGCCCAGGCTAAGGTGCAGTGGTGCTATCTCAGCTTGCTGCAAACTCCACTCCCAGGTTCAAGTGACTCTTCCGCCTCAGCCTCTCGAGTAGCTGGGACTACAGGAGCACGTGACCACGCCTGGCTAATTTTTGTATTTTTTGTAGAGATGGGGTTCTTCCAGGTTGCCCCAGGATGGTCTTAAACTCCTGAGCTCAAGCAACTGCCCACCTTGGCCTCCTAAAGTGCTGGAATTACAGACGTGCTTTTATCTTAAACATGGCCCATTGATACATTTCCAGCTGCATCTCATGTCACACAAGACCTTTTTCCTGAAAACCACGTGCCCAATGCTGTCTACCCAGAAACGCTATAACCTCACATGGGATCTCAACTTTGTAATGTCCAAAACTGGGTGAATAATTTCGTTCTCCCTTATTCCTGAGAGTCAATCAATCATTAAATTAACTGACTCTGTCTCCTTAATGTTTCTTTAATACATCATTTCAGTCCTCTTCACTGCCACCCACCCTACCAGTATCTCTTGCCTGGGCAACTCCTGTGCCTCATTGGTCTTCCTGCATTTGCTCTTGCCCCACACCCTCTTCCAGCTTCCAGTTCATTCTTCTACTGTGGCCAGAGCAAAATTTTTTTTTTTTTTGAGATGGAGTTTTGCTCTTGTTGCCCAGGCTGGAGTGCAATGGCGCGATCTCGGCTCACTGCAACCTCCGCCTCCCAGGTTCAAGAGATTCTCTTGTCTGAGCCTCCAAAGTAGCTGGGATTACAGGCATAGCCACCTGGAAATTTTTGTATTTTTAGTAGAGATGGGGTTTCATCATATTGGTCAGACTGGTCTCAAATTCCTGACCTCAGGTGATCTGCCCGCCTCAGCTTCCCAAAATGCTGGGATTACAGGCGTGAGCCACCACGCCCGGCCAATTTTTTAAAACTCTTTATTTAGACATTCCATTTTTCTGCTTAGGGGCCTTCAGTTGTCTACCACAGCTCTTAGGAAACAGCCCATTTGTAATTAGTTCTTCATAGTCCCTCAATCTGGGTGCTGCCCACCCAAGGGCCCCCCTGGCCCCTCTCTCCATGGATCTCTGTGCCCGGGTCACACTGCTCCCTTTCCATTTCTGGAACAACCCAAGCCTCTTTCTGCCTGGAGGCTCTTACATGTGGCCAAAACTATTCTTCACTTACTTTTTACCCAGCTAACTTCTCATCCTTTGGGTTCCAGCCAAAATAGAACTTCCTCAAGGGAAAATCTTCCCCGACTCCCTCCCCCTACTAGGTTAGATCCTTCTATTATGCCTCTTTTTGGCCCACTTTTCCTAATGACACTTTTTTTTTGTAAAAGGAAAAGGTTAAATGTAGGCCATGTTCACAGCACCATGATTCACAATAGCCCAAAGGCGGAAGCAACCCAAGTGCCCATCAATGGATGACTAGACAGTGTTACATACATGCAATGGAATATTGTTCATCCTTAAAAAGGAAGAAAATTCTGACACTTGCTGCAACACAGATGATTTTTATGTGATTCTTCATATTGTCTGTCTTGCCCATTGGCTTGTCAGTCCCTTCAGGTCAGATATATATATATATTTTTTTTTAAGACAGAGTCTTGCTCTGTCACCAGGCTGGAGTGCGGTGGCACAATCTCGGTTCACTGCAACCTCCGCCTCTTGGGTTCAAGCGATTCTCCTGCCTCAGGCTCCTGAGTAACTGGGACTATAGGCGCGTGCCACCACACCCGGCTAATTTTTTTATTTTTAGTAGAGACGGTGTTTCACCATGTTGGCCAGGTTTGTCTCGATCTCCTGACCTCGTGATCTGCCCACCTCAGCCTCCCAAAGTGCTGGAATTACAGGCATGAGCCACCACATCCAGCCCAAGATTTTTTTTTTTTTTTTTTTTAGTTGAAGTCTCGCTCTGTCACCCAGGCTGGAGTGCAGTGGCGCAATCTCGGCTCACTGCAACCTCCGCCTCCCAGATTCAAGCAATTCTCCTGCCTCAGCTTCCCGAGTAGCTGGGATTACAGGCACCCATCACCATGCCTGGCTAATTTTTTTATTTTTTAGTAGAGACAGGGTTTCACCACGTTGGCCAGGCTGGTCTTGAACTCCTGACCTCCTGATCCACCTGCCTTGGACTCCCAAAGTGCTGAGATTACAGGCGTGTGCCACTGCACCTGGCTTGGGCAGAGATTTTATTATTCACTTTCTTCCCAACACTTGGCTCCATACCTAGGGTACAGCAGTTCCTCTAACAATATGCAAAAGAATAAGATTCAGAGAGACGCAGAGACCAGAGATGGGGAACCACATGGCCCCAGGGGCCTCTGTTTCTGCCTGCTGGGTTTCAGCCCTGGAGAAGCTCAGCTGTCCACTGTCCATGGAGGCACAGACATGTAATTTAAATTCCTTTACTTAAGGTGGCATGAGGTCCTTTTTCTTCCTGGAGAGCTGGAGCTTTGCTTTTTCCCTCTTCAAAAGGGAGGCTGCAGTGAGTCTTCTGGGCCAGGAATGGTGACTCATGCCTGTAATCACAGCACTTTGGGAGGCTGAAGCAGGAGGATCACTTGAGCCCAGGAGTTCAAGACCAGCTTGGGCAACATAGTGAGACGCCCCCCACCCCCACCCATCTCTACAAAAATAAATAAACAAAATTAGCCAGGTGTGGTGGTACAGGGCTGTGGTTCCTGCTTCTTGGGAGGCTGAGGTGGGGGGATCACTTGAGCCCAGTTAGACAAATCATGCCACTACTTTCCAGCCTGAGCAACAGAGTGAGACCCTATCTCAAAAATAAAAAGCCCTCAAGGCCTTTCATTTAATCGCAAGGGTAATAATAAACACTCATAAAATGTTCATTTAAAGACTACTCATTTAATCTTTATGACCAGACTCTGAAGGGGATATGGTGATATCCT